AGCATCAGCAGCATCAGCATCAGCATCAGCATCATCATCAGCAGCAGCAGCAGCATCAGCATCATCATCATCATCATCATCATCATCATCATCATCATCATCATCATAATCATCACCACCATCATCTTCATCATCTGAATGATCACCATCACCATCATCATCATCACCATCGTCATCGTCATCATCATCATCATCCTCATCATCATCATCATCGTCATCGTCATCGTTATCGTCATCGCCATCAGCATCGGCACCACCAGCATCATCAGCATCAGCATCATCACCACCACCACTATCACCAGCATCATGAACATTACCATCTTATTTGTCATGTTCATCATCTTCGTCATCTGATCATCATCCTCATCCTCATCCTCCATCCACAGTTCTCGCTGGCCAACGGGGAGCTCCACCGAAGGCCTTGGAGTTACAGTCCGCATGGTGCCCCGCTCCATTTCGGCGCATCTCTCATACGCTTTGTGGCCCCCGCCGATGGCTTCAATTGTTGCGTCCGCATGGTGGCTGGCCCAATTTCGGCGCACCCCTCACACGTTTCTTGGGCCCCATAGTGAGCTCAACCGGAGGCCTCAAGGGTTGAGTCCGCATGGTGACTCGCCCCATGCAGGCGCACCACTCAAACGTGTCGTGGCCCAACAAGGAGCTCTACCGACGGCCCCATTGGCTGCGTCCTCATGCTGACTCGCCCCAGTTCGGCGCGCCCTTCGCACGCTTCGTGGCCCCACACATGGGCAGGCATGGTGGCTTGCCCCATTTCGGCGCCCCCTCACAGGTTTCGATGTTCCTTAGGGAGCTCCGCCGAAGGGCCCCATTGGCTGCGTCCGCATGATGACTCGCCCTATTTCGGCATGCCGGCGCACCCCTCACACGTTTCATTCGGGAGCCTTGAGACGGGGGTCAATGCAAACGGGGGTCAGCCACGGCACCGGATCCTGCAAGGAGTTTGCGAAGACCCCCTTTGGCTGACCCGGGTTAGCGAGCCGTTCGTGGCCGCGAGGCGGCCGCACATATTGGCTGACCCGGGTTTGCGAAGACCTGCGTTGCAGTTTTTTTGGTTCCTGCATTGCAGTTTTTGGTTTCCTGCTGACCTGGGTCTGGATTGACCCGGGTCAGAAGATCCCCGATTCACAGGAGCTCCACCGAAGGCCTCAGTGATCGCGTCGGCATGGTGGCTTGCCCCACTTCGAGGCATCCCTCACACGTTCCGTGGGCGCCATAGGGAGCTCACAGGGAGCTCCACCAGAAGCCTCAGTGGCTGCGTCCGCTTGGTGACTTGCCCAATGTCGGTGCACCGCACTCGTGGCCCCAGGGGGAGCTCCACCATAGGCTTCCGTGGCTGCGTCCGCATGGTGACTCGCCCCGTCCTGGTGCACTCCTTACACGTTTCGCGGCCCCATGGGCAGGTCCGCCAAAGACCCTTTGGCTGCGTCCGCATGGTGACCCGCCCCATTTTGGCGCACAGCTCACACGTTTCGTGGCCCCAGAAAGCGCTCGGCCGCACGCCCCAGAAAGCGCTCGGCCGCACGCCCCAGGGACTCGACCATTTCGGTGCGCCCCTCACGCGTTTCGTGGCCGCACATGGAGCTCCACCGAAGGCCTCACTGGCTGCGTCCGCATGGTGGCTCGCCCCAGTCCGACATACCTCTCACGCGTTTCGTGTGCTCCATATGGAGCTCCTCTGAAGGCCTCAGTGGTTGAGTCCCCATCATGACTCGGGCCTATTCTGGCGCACCACTGATTCGTTTCGTGGCCCCATAGGGAGCTCCGCCGAAGCCAGTCAGTGGCTGCGCCCGCACGGTGACTCGCCTCCGTGGCTGCGTCCGCATGGTGACTCGCCCCCCTGAGCCGGCCAGGGAATCGTGAGCTCGCGGACATGCCCTCATGTTCCGCGCCGCATGCATTGTTAACGTCCCGTGTGTGATGTGCGTCGCGTGAATGCCTGCCAAGTGTGGTCCGACGCTCTCTGGCGAATTTTGTGTGTATCGAACGGTTGTGCTGATAGTTCCCCGCGTGCAGAATGGTTTGGGTTCTTCGCCAGGGTAATTGTTTTCGAGACTTCGAGCGTTGCAACGCGACGGTTGGAACAAAATGTTCCCGCTCGTCGCATTGCTGCATGGCGGCTAGACTTTGATAGTGTGTATATACTGTTCGCCCCCTTCCAGGTAGAACAATTTGTGATCCGTCTTGGCCTCCCTCTGCTGTTACCTGACGAAGAAAGCGGATGTGCGGGTAGGCGGGCGGGTTGGCGGGCGAGCGGGCTTGATAGCGTAGGTTGTGCACTCACGGGTTGGTAGGTGCAGCTGCTCTCATGGCATAGTTTCATTGGGTAATTGTGTCTCTATGCCTTACGGACACAAACTGTGTATCCAGAGTTGGCTGGGAGGGTTGGCCGGATTCTGGGGGTTTGGCCGGGAAGATTGGCCGGGCCCGTTTCGCGTGAGACATCTTTGACATTTTGGGTCCCGCTGAAATTAGAAAGCCCAGTCCTAGCGTGCCCTCTCGCTTCCAGCACGCACTGCGTGGCTCAGAAAGGTTGGCCGTGGTTCGCGGTGGGGTTGGCGACCCCACTTCTTGGATAGCCCATCATTAGCATTGCATGTAGTGCTGCTTATCGGTTGTCGTCGTCGTCGTCGTCGTCATCATCGCTTTGTCGATTTGATTTCTCATTCTCGATTCACTTGTCCTTCGCGAAGCACCCATTTGCCTGCGAATACCGCTGCCGATGTAAACGGCGTCCCCTGAAAATTGAAAAGTCGGGGTGGCCGAGATTCTCGCCAATGGTAGAGTTTTCTCAATTCGGGCAGGCGCTTTGTATTGAGGTGTTCATGGCAGCTCACGGTACAATTTCGGGGCGAGTTCGCAATTCGGGCAGGCGTTTCGTCTTCAGGCGTCCCACCTGGGTATTACGGGGCAAGGTTGGAGTTCATCCTCGCATTGCATTTATGCGTAGCACCACTGTGACACGCAATAATGAATTTCAAGGGGAAGGAGGGCTGGATAAACGATTGTGCTCACATTGCCTGTTGTTCCTGATGGGCGTTGAGTTTCCGGTGGCAGCGACGAGATCAGCTTATCATCCGACGTTTTCAGCTTGGCGATGTGTCGGGAGGTTTCCTTCGGGAATTTCAGATTCAATCGTCCAGAGTTTTTCTTCGTTCACCCGAAAAGTTGTTCCCCGTTCGCCTGAGAACTGTTTTACGTTCGCCCGAGAAAGACAGAAGTTCTGGTTCGCCCGAGAGGCAATTTCTCGCTCGTCCTTCCGCATGTTCTCGCTCGGGGGCATGAATTTCTGCGCATTGTCCCGTTCGCCAGCATCCCTTCTCGCCTGGTGACCGCGGGACCCGCCGTGTGTTGGCTTACCACCGCCGCGATCTTGCGCTGCGGTCCTACCCTGCCCGGCCTATTCCTGCGCCACTGGAAAACGTCGTCAGACGGGCTTTCTCATGTCGGTCGCAATCTACTGCGTACAGCTGGACCTATTCATAGTTTCGAGGATTGGTTCGGGGAGGGTATCCTCATGTTAAGTCGGGCGTGTCCCTCTACAGGAGGAAGATTCAAAAATAGTTAAACAAAGTAGTCCGGGGACGATGTTTCGACTATTTTTTCGCATTTTGGGTGTATTTCTGGATCATTTCCGATGGTTCGTTCCAAATCCTCCTGTAGGGACCTGATCCTATGCTCTGTTCTTCGTGCGTGCTAGATGTTCTTGCGCACCCTGGGGAGGGTACCCTTCCATGTTCTGTGCGTTGGGGCCGGCGGAGAGTCTCCTGCTCTCGAGGGAGGTTCTTCGGTCCCAGGGTCGACCGCGAGAGGGCCAGGAGGGTACGGAGCAGGACTGCGCAGAAGGATGATCAGTGGGAGTTGTTCGGAGAAGCATCTCCCTCGGAACGGCACCGGGAGCTATTCGGGGGCGGCAAAGAGGGGGGTGATGATTAGGGGGGGGATATCATGGCGTGGGCCATGATGTTTCCCAGATTTCATGGCGCCTCTTCTTATTTCAATACGTCCCTTGCCCCCAACCTGGGCCGCGCACATGCCGCCGGGCATGATTTGCGCCCCCCCCTCTTTGACGCCCCCCTCTTTGCCGCCCCCGAGTTATGATGTTCCAACTTCGTTTAGCCTTGATCACCAGAAAGAATTTCGAGCACCAAAAAAGGACCGAAACTCGAGGGATTGCGCGTGTCGGGCCCTGGGAGACACTCGCCCGACACTGTTTCGACACTCTTCTTTTCCGGGTGCTCGAAATTATTTCTGGGATGCGGTCAACATAAGACTACGCAGAAGGATGACCAGTGGGAGGCGTTCGGAGGAATATATGTCTCGGAGTCGGCAGCGGGAGGAGGACCATCCCGGCCCACACGGCGGCCCTTCCGAGGCCTTCCCGGAACTGCGCCGGCAGCAGTCCAGCCAGGCCGCGCAGGGCTGGTTCCAGGAGAGCGGGCCATCGGGTGAGAAGTCCCGCGTCTGTGACCACCCATCAAACCAGCTCCACCAATTCTCAGAGCGTGAATTACCTACCCCGCTTTCGCTTCTAGGAAAAAACAAGTCATACCACGCGCCTCCTCGTCAAGCGGCCTGACCAGCACAGGCCGTAGTTTGGCATCGCTTGGTATCTCTTGGAAGCGAGGGTGGTCAAAAGAAAGGTAGGTTTGTTTGCCCCCTAAATTTCAAAGGCTCCAACTTGCCCTCCATTCCCAGCGAGGGCACCGGGGGGGCGGGAGACATTGAAAGACACATGGAGCCCGTACCCCCCCCCCGACCCGCCCCCGACCCGAAATTCTGGTCTTCGGGTGTTGGGTTGGGGTGGTCTGGTTGGTAGTGAGTCTTGTGCCGGTTTCACTTCAGAGCTTTTCTGTCGCACCACTAGACACTTCGTCAAGCGTGTGTTTGGCTCTTTGCAGGCCGTCGTGGTTGTACATTCCTGTTCCTCATACGTTACCGTGTTAGAATCCACGATTCTCAACAGAACGACACGGATGCAAGATACATCCAGTTGCTTGCGGCAAGCCCCGCCATTGCGCCAGTGCAGTAGCGCAGCGTGAATCAGGTTGTGTTAAGGACGCATGTTGGAGCGCAGCGTGAATCAGGTTGTGTTAGCCATTTTGGCTCAAGGCGGCGAGCTGGCGGCGCCTCCCCCCCCGGCGTGGGCCCCCCCGGTTTGTACCCCCTTGAATTCCCGAACCCTCTTACCATTATCCGTGCTTGCGATAGCGGGTAAACCGAGACATCTCCGGTTCCTGCTTGCGCAATCACAGCCATGGCCAGCGCTGCCGACGACAGCAGGCAGGATCATGGACGACAGGGCAGGCTGTGGCAGCGGTTGGAGGAGACGGAGAGGAGTGAAGGGATGGGAGCGCGGTTGAAAGGGCGGGTTCAGGCCGCTGTGAGGCAGGTCAGCGAGAACCTCAGCATGCCCCGGGGTCCTCTGACCGGGTCTACGCCACCTCCCAAGAGTCGCAAAAAGGAGGAGGACGACATGGACGACGTGGGTCCCGAAATGAACAAGCTGGCAGGCGTCCTTACACGAAGGCTTGGGGACATGATCGCGGAGAAGTTTGAGGAACGCGACCTGAGGCTCCGGGTGGTGGAGGAGAAGGTCGAAGGGGTGGCCAAGGCCACCGACGAGGCCATCGGCAGCTTGGAGGACAAGTTCGAGGCCTTGCACAAGGAGGTGGAGGAGTTGAAGAGCAAGGGAGGGGAGGAGGGCATCGGGAGGGTCGATGAGGAGCTGAGGAAGAAAATAACCGACATGGAAACGAACCTTCACAATATCAAGAAGGAGCACACGAACAGGATGGTGGCCATTCTCGGCGGGTTTGGTCAAGGCACAAGCTTCCAGGAGGCGAAGGACAGCATCACAGTCCATCTGAACAAGGTAGGTCTGAAGGTGCCGGCGGATATGTATTACAAGGGGGAGGAGTTCAAAGGTATATTTTTCGCACGTTTTTCTAATGGTTTAGCTTTGGATGCAGCCTTGGAGAGCATACGGAACCAGCGCCTGAACATCAAGGGGGGGTTGGTGTGGTGTGGGCCGGATCGTCCTCTGCAGGAGCGCGTCCCGTTGGGGTTCCTGGTCGGCGTCAAGAAGTTGCTGGTCAGCTGGAACTTCAGCAAGAAGGCCATCAAGGTGGACGAGGAGGAGATGGTTATGAGCGTCGGCGGCACGGACGTTCTGCAGGCCGTCGTGGAGGACAACGTCCTGACGATGAAGTGGTTGGCGAGAGACTGGGAGAAGTGGTCCGACTTTACGGATGCAGGCGAGCTGGCGGAGCTGATTGCCAAGGCCGGCGATCGCCTCACGAACTTTGGGGAGGGCGGGACGAAAGGCTGGGGCAAAGGTAAAACCCCTAATTGACGGGGACAGGGGCGCGTCGGAGCAGTTTTGGTTTCACCCCGTGATCGTCACGAAGATGTCAGAGCGGGAACGCTAAGGAGGCAGTTTTGGGATGCTCATGGGCGGGTTCTTAGAGCCGGTACGTGGAACGCCCAAGGCCTCACCGAGGAGAAATTAATTTGCATTCAGGTGCACATGAGGTCTTACAAGCTTGACGTTTTATGTCTTCAAGAGACGTGGGAAGATTTGTCGGATAGCTATTGCGACAGTGGTTTCTTAGTCATTCTATCTGGATCCCAGGGGGAACGGGCAGGCGTCGGCTTTGTTGTAGCGCCTTGGGCCCGACGTGGAGTTCGAGGGTTTCTGCAGCATACGGGAAGAACAGCATACATCAAGATGAATGTCAGGGGCGGCACGATTGGAATTTGCACAGCGTGCGCTCCACACAATGAGAAGCCGCCGGAGGAGAAGTTCGCCTTCTACGAGAACTTGGACGATCTGTGCGACAAGTGCTCGGTGAGCGGCCAGCGGCTCCTGCTGGGCGACATGAATGCCCGACTTGGGCAGAGGAGGCAGGGCGAGGAGGACGCGCTCGGAACACATACCGGGGGCAGGGAAGCGGTCAAGAAAGTGGAGCCTCCGAACCGAGACTTACTTGTGCAGTACTGCGTGGAACGCGATCTGATGGTAGGCAACACCTACGTGGAGGGGGTGCCAGAAGAAAAGGCCACGTTCGTGGAAAGCGGCGCCGGACACATGAGCGAGGTTACGGAACGCACCCGCAACATGCTCGATCTGGTCCTGGTGGAGTCTGGTTTCGCTTCCGACGTCCAGGATATCAGGAACCATAGGGAAGCAGGGATACAGTCGAACCACTTTCTGGTATCACGCTCGATTCGCTGTTGCTTTGAGGCGCCTCCCAAGCAGGTTACGAAGCGGAAGGATAGAAGCCCCTTGACGTTACCAGGCGTGGCGAGGAAATTCACGCAAACCTTCAAAGACATGGTGCCGCAGACACGGGGGAGCGAGTCCATTGACGATGCGTGGGCTGGCATGGTCGGAGCTTTTGAGGTGTCAGGGGGCGCGGTCCCAGAGAAGTATCGTATTAGCCGGCGGCCGTGGGTTAGCCAATGCACGTTGGACCTCATTGACCAGCGGTCGCAGGCGCGCCTAGAGAACGACCAGGTCAAGCAACGGGACCTGCACCGGAAAGTGAGGAGATCGGCGAAGGCGGACAAAACTAAGTGGCTCAACGACTGCATACAGACAGGCACTTGGGATGACCTGAAGCTGATCCGGAAGACGCGGAGACCGACCCAATCCAGCCTCCGCAACGCAGCCGGCGTCCTCACGCCGAGCGAGGAGAAAGCCGATACTATGGCAGAGTACCTGGAACGTGTGCAGTGGCGCGTCCGCCCAGCAGGCTGCACAGATGGTCCGCCTCTTGGGCCCGCCCTCAACGTCAATGAGGACGCGTTCTCGGCGGAGGAGGTCAAGGCAGTCATTCGCAAGATGCGGAATAACCGAGCGGCTGGTGGAGACGACATTCCTGCAGAGTATTTCAAGGTTCTGGCTACGAACACCGAGTGCCTGGAATATGTCACTGATTTCATGAGTAACTGTTGGCTCGAGGGGAAAACACCGCAGGCTTGGCATCAGGCTATGGTAACGGCCATTTATAAGAAAGGGAACGTTGAACTGCCAGAGAATTACCGCCCAATCAGCCTGTTGAGTCTTGGATGCAAGATCTTCGCTGCTCTCGCCAAAAAGCGGCTCCTCGACGCTGGAGTGGAACAACGACTTTCGAAGTGCCAGCTCGGCTTCCGCAGCGGGTGCAGCACGCAGGGCGCCATCTGCATTCTGCGACGGCGTATTGAGCAAGAGTGGGCACTACAGCACTGAAGTGGGTATTTTCTCGCTCTGGATTGGAAACAGGCGTTCGATTCTGTGAACACGGAGGCAATGCTAGCCGCTCTGGAACGGTTTGGACTCCCCAGTAGCATCCGGCGCATCGTTGGGGATATTTACAATGGGCGCACATTCCAGGTCCAGGAGGCCGGGCACTTGTCAGCGGAACGAGCGCAGAGATCAGGGATTTCCCAGGGCTGCCCGCTTTCGCCCCTCCTGTTCGTCATGGTCATGACCGTCATCATGACTGACGCAGCGGATGCGCTCGGACAGCAACTCGCGGAACGTGTTGGGCAGTTGGTCTACGCCGACGACGCTCTACTGATCGCGCGACGTGCAGAGGATATGCAAGAGTGGTTGCGCGTGGTGCAGGAAGCGGCCAGCTTGGTGGGCTTGGAACTGCATTGGGGGAAGCTCCAGTTGATGCGCGTTCGATGCTGCGGAGATGTTCACACTCTTACAGGCGAGGCCATTGCAGCCACAGACAAAATATCTTACCTGGGCACCACCATCAGCAGCGACGGCAGGTTGGAGAGTGAGCTCAACCGGCGGCTTGGCATGGCATACGCAGAGTTCTCAAGGCTTAAGAAAGTCTGGGGGCACACGAGCATCGGATAACAACGGAAGATCGACTTGTTCAGCGCCATCATCATACCCAAGCTCCTCTACAGCCTGAGCACGGCATGTCTGAACGCGGCAGAACGGCGTCGTCTGGACGGAGCACATTGCCGGATGTTGCGGTCCCTCTGCGGGGTCAAGCACCCCATGTTCTCTCGAGTATCGAACGCGAGCATCCGGGCCCGGACGCGGCAAGAGCCTTTGACAAGTACCCTTCTCAAGCAACAGCTTCTTCTGCTTGGAAAGGCAGCGAGAGCAGAGCCTGGAGATCCACTGCGAGACTCAATTTTCGTCCCCGGCACTCTGAAATTCATCGCGGACCACTACGTCCGGAAGGCTGGGCGACCCAGATTGGAATGGGCTAAGTTTCTATTGGCGCATGTACGACGGCTATCAGGCGAACATCTTCAGTGGGAGGTGCTTGTACAAGACGAATGTGCTTGGAGGAAACACGTGAGGGCGCTACAGTAGCGCCTGCCGACGCGCCCCCGGGCGTTTGGCCCTCTCTCTCTCTCTCTCTCTCTCTCTCTCTGGGGCCTCTGGAAGGCGTCTCGGGAGTTTCTTAGGTCCGCTTGGGATGCTTTCGGTGGTCTGTAGTGGGGACCTCTGGGAGGCCTCATGAGGTTGCCTGACACCACTCGGCGGCGTCTAGGGGGCCTCTCGGGCCTCGGGTGCCAGGCGCTCGAGGAGAGCTCTAGCACGCCCCAGGGTGCAGCTTGTACGGTGCTGGTCGGGGACGGTGGTGGGACAGCGCTCGGCACGTGTGAGCGGACCCTTTCGGTGCTTGTCGGGAGTGGCGAGATGTCACCCCGGAGCGGTGCTTACGTCGAGGGTGGTTTCGGGGCACGGATAGGCTCTCAGGGACAGCTTTCGGCAGGCGTGGGTTGTACAGTTGACGTAATGGGTCACTTGACGGCCGCCTGAGACACTGCGGAATCAATCCCCCCGTTCTCTCCTTTCCTGGAAGGGGAGGACAAAACCGAAAGAGTCGGCGTAGGAACAAGATGAGAAAAGACGAGAAGGATGAGGAGGAGGAGGAGGAGGAACAGGAGGAGGAGGGGGAGGAGGAGGAGGAGGAGGAAGAGGAGGAGGAGGAGGAGTGTTGGGTGATCATGGGTGACGGGCAGAGGGGGGGCAGCAGCAAGCTGCGGGTGACCAGTGGAACGGCCACGAGGCACCCCCCCCTCTCTTCCCCTCCTCCTCCTCCTCCTCCTCCTCCCCCTCCTCCTTCTCCTCCTCCTCCTCGTCTGACTTCTCACTCTTGGGATCTAGTGCCACTGCGCTCTGCTCGGGATGTTTTCGTTATGCTTCTCGACCCTAACGGTTTCTATGGTGTTCCCCGGTTAGAAATCTAGTCGCGACGGGAGTGCCGACTTTCAAGTTTCGCGAGGGGAGCTTCCCTCACTATGCGCACAGCGGTCAATTGTAATTGGAGTAGCAATGCAGGCTTGACCACAGGCTGAGTACCACCACCACCACCTCCTCCTCCTCCGTCTTTCTTTAGGGGAGCGAACAATGACATGAACATAAAAACTCGGAGGTCCGCGCGAATTTCTCGGATCCGCGCTGCACCCCCTTGGCGGCGCCTCCGGCGACGCCCCCAGCGCGCTCCGCGCGCCAGAGAGGGGTGTCCAGCGCCGATCCAAGACATCTGCGCGGACCTCCCAGTTTTTAATGTTTCTGTCATCGCATATCCCTATCCCTATGCTGGGCATCTCCTCATCACGATGCCAATCTTATGGATCCCCTTATTTTTTGATGGCGCACCCCCAAGATTGCCATCGCCTTTTGGCGTGTCGATCTAAGGATAGGGATCAGTTCGAGGCTGGTAACTCCCCTCCGGTTGCCACCGCCCGTGCACTCTGGCCACGGAGGGAAAAATATGCGGGTGCCGCCCCCGCCGGGGGCGCACGGCCTCTGTGGGGGCCGCGCTGGGCTTGCCGCCGCCACCCAGAGGAGGGCCGACGCGTTCTCCTTGGAGCCGGATGCGCGGAGCGTGCGGCTGCTCCCGAAGCCCGCGGAGCCGCCCTCCCTCCTGCAGGCCCGCGGTCGGGAGGAGGGAGGCGAGGGGTGAGGAAGGGCGAGGAGAATGAGGGCCAGGGCAGAGGAACGAGCCATGGCATCAACATAGCAATGCAGAGGTCCGCGCGGATTTCTCGGATCGGCGCTGGGGCCCCCGAGCAGTTGCATACTCTGGCCGTCAAATGATGCATCGCATGCTATTGCCACGCGTACTCGGTCCAAGTTTACAGTTGCCCAGATACCGTGACGGATGCCGTTGCCATCTCCGCACAGAGAAAGCCAATGCATAATGCGTTGCAGTTGGGTGAAAGTGTGCAGGGCCATGAGCTGAGCGTTCGGCATGTAGTCGCATTCAGTCTCTATGCATGGTCCACGAGATGATGGCGTGTCATTGGTGCCCGTCTGAATCTGGTTGGTGAGGCCACAATTTCCTCGGAATATCCGGATAGTGATCGTTTTCTTATTCATTATTTTGCCGATCCGCGCGTGCCCTCGCACCCTCTCCCCCCCCTGGAGTAGATCTTGGCTGCTTGGGGGCGCCTGTTTCAAGCAGGCAGACGGCTACCCACAGGATTGCCCATGGGAGCATTGTTGCAAAAAGTCGCGCTGAGCAGAAGTCCGGAGCCAGAACCCCCCCCCCTCCCATCCCCCCGTCCGCTCCATGCCGAGGCGCCGAATAAGAAAACGTGCACACACGTATACAATGCAGTGGCGCGCTTGTGTGACACTCTTGGGCGGCGATGGCCCTCCCCCTCAACCCCGCCCCCCCCCCCCATCCAGACACGCCCACAAAGGTTCTTAGATGCTCGTCGTTTTGGGGACCTTTCTGGGGGGCCAACCTGGCAGGTAGGTTCGACTCCATTTCGACCCCAGTTCGACTCCAGTTCGACCCAAGTTCGACTCAGGTTCGACTCAAGTTCGACTCAGATTCGACTCAGGGGCGACTCGAATCGACGGACGTTCGACGCAGCTTCTCTGCAAGAGTGGAGCGTGTGTCTCCAGGAAGGTCCCCATAACGAGCATCCAGAGGTTCCCGCAGCGGCGGACGAGCACTGCAAGACCATGATGCAGCTTGGCATCGCGTACAGCATGTGAGTCCATGCGGCTGCACGCAAGGAGAGGTGGTAAGGATAGTCGAATAAGAGAAGGAGCCATAAACATAAACTTTTGATACTCCGCGCGGATTTCTTGGATCCGCGCTGGGCCCCCCGCGCCTCTAGCGCAGATCCAAGAAGTCAGGTCGGACCTCCACATGTTTATGTTTATGCGGCTTCTTGTTCCTCTACAGATGCCCCCCTTCCCCAGCCCTTCCAGATGCCATTCCCAAGCGAATTGTCGGCGAGCAGGGGATTGCGTGAGCATGCAGGGATGGGCGCCTCTCGGATGCCTCCCGGAGACATGCCGACGCTCTCTCCTGTGGCCATCGAGGGACCGTTGGGGTTCGTTTGGGATCCTCATGTGGGGGTCTCTCGGGCTCCCGGGGCGCTCTCTCATGGGAGCCGTTCGGGCTCCATCAGGGCCACCTTGCCTATCTACCAAGAAAGGGAGAGAGAGAGAGAGAGAGAGAGAAGGCGTGCACGTGAAAAGTGCATCAGCAAAGCGGTGAATCAAGAAACATTGCCGGTGGCGCAGCTATGGAGCAGTGAGGCGCCATTCAAAACACGACAGGCACGGAATGGCGAACGCATATCTTCATGCACCACCCAGACCACCAACATGCCAGCAAGGTGGACGACCGGGGAGAGGGGGGCGGGCCGAATTAGCGTGCCCGTCTGGAGTCAGACATATCGTTCGTCGGCGCTCGCTTGTGGCCCTCTCGGAGCGGCATGGGGCGCTGTTTTGGGCAGTCATTGACCTCTTTCGGGCCCCTCCTGGGAATCTCGAGGGCGATATTCATCTTGGAGCCAGATGGAGGCCTCGCAGGATCACAGGAAGCAAAACGGCGAGACGCTCAACAACATTGTAACTCGCTTCTGTGGTATATGTTAGCCAGCGTGGACCCCACGCAGTAATGTGTTTCACTGTGAATGTTCAATATTTGTGGCGCAATCATGCGGGTAAGCTAATTTTGCGGTTCAAGCTGTGCGGTGCAAGCTACGTGGCTGAAGCTGCGCGGTGAAATCTACGTGGTGGAGCGCCTGTGTTGCCGAGCGTTGCGGCCAGAGCCTGGCCACGCTGTCAGCGTACGTGCCTCCCCAGCCGTGGCGGAAGCCATTCGGGGAACACTTGGGGGAGAAAGAATATGAGGAGACGCAGGCCCAGTGACTCCAGCCAAGGAAACGAGGGAGCCACGAGTAAAGACGGAAAACGCGGCAATCCTTTTAGCCGCGTTGGGTGTCACCGCTTAGGGGAATTCCCGTTCGCGAGTGACGTTTGGCCTGAAAATTCTCAAAGGCCGTGATTCTTCTTTGAGTAATCCCACGCTTTCCGCAGCAGTGGGTAAGCAGGGTCGGGCCTCTTGGGAGTCTCTTGGGGCACTCGTGGGGCACCCTGGGAGGAGGCTTGCTCGGGGCTCCTTTGGCCCTCTTGGGCGCTTTTGGAAGCTCCTCTGGGTATTCTTCGTCCGCCTCAGGGCCGTCCTGGCTCGTCTCACGCTGCGGGAAACCGTCTTGCGGGCCTCTCTGGGCCAAGCTGGGGCCTTCTTGTGGCGCTTCAAGGCCGCCTCGGACCGTCGGGGAGCCGCACAGGAGCAAACGTCCAAATCTTTCGAACACCAGAAGGGGATCAAATATTGCGACCTCTGTGGGCTTTCGTGGAGGTCCTCTTAGAGGCCTCTTGGGCCGTTTGGAGGCCTCGTGGGCCGTCTTGAGCGATTTTGAGGCCAGCTTGGGCTACGCCAGCCACCCATGGAATACATCATGGGGGCGGCGGACCGAAGACGCCTACAGCGAATCACCGCCGCCCCTTGTCTTTTAAGATACGCCTATGTGGCGCACGTTGTGCAACAGTTTGCCTCACTATTGGACCATGCGTTTCCCGAGCCGTTCTGGAAGCCATTCGGGAGACACGTTGGGGAGGAAGGGGAGGATGAGCAGAGGGAGGGCAATGGAGGATGAGGAGGAGGCTGAAGAAACCTCTTGGGAGCTTCTTGGCTCATTGTTCTTACCTCCTGGGAGCTTCTTGGCGGCCTCTTGGAGGCCTCTTGGGGGCTTCCTTGAGCCTCTTGTGGGCATTTGGAGGCTTCTTGGGTGCCTCTTTGGCAGTCTTATGGCATCCCTGGCATCTATGACAGTCTGCTCGCGCTCCCATCCGCAACCGATTCAAACACAAAGGGAAAGGAACGTATGACGGTCATGCGATCAGTTTGACTCGCTCGTGAACTAGGTGAGACGTAGATATGGTGGGAAGTACGCGTGAAGCAGGTATCGAGACGGGTCGCACTCATGCGTGGTTGACCGATGAGTACCATGGGGGGAGTTCTACACATGTGTTGGCGACGTATGATCGCCACGCCCGCGCGATATAGGAGTTCCATGTTTGCGAGACGCAGCGCGGGTGAGACGCAGAGTAGCGTCGAGGACTTATCAGGACAAGGAGAAGGAGATGCAGGCAGGCTGATGCGTGCGTCTCATCTTCGGCTGCTGTACTCTGTCACCGAAAAACACCAACACCCTCCAATGGATTGCTCTTGGGCCAGGGCAGGGTGGCGGTGTATAAATCACCACTAAGAGTCGGCAGTGTTGTACACCGTCACCTCCCTGAAGATATATACAGAGTTTCTCGGAGGGTGTGTATATATATATATATATGTTCGTGGCGTATGTACGATGGTGCCGCTCACTTTTGGTAACGGATCATTTGCATCTAGAGGGCATTTCGCCCAGAATAGTTTCACGGGCGCTTGCCCCACAATACATTTGCAGTCAAGGCTCTGGTCGAGGATGGCCAGCGTTCCTGCCGCTCTCCTTGCAAGAGGGGGGGGTGGGTCGGGGTGGAGGCGCAGGATGACCTAGCAGCAGGGGGACCATGAGCAGGAGGATTCGCTACCAAGTCGTGAGAGCCTGGTCTACGCTCTTAGTCCCGTCTATAGCGTCGATTAGCGTCGATTAGCGCCTGGGAGTCGATGGGATCGCGCCGATTCAGCGTCGGTTAGTGTCGATTTAGCGTCGACGAGCGCTTATTAAGCATCGACTCGCGCCGATTCGCAAGAGCCGGCACGCTGGCATGGGAGGTCCCCGTGCGCTGCCACCGAATTGCAGCAGGAGCAGGGGGGGCATGAGCAGGAGGAGGAGGACGAGAAGGTGAGAGGAAGACGTGAGGGGTAACGAGGTACGGCGAAGGTTTGTGAGGAGACCCTTGATGCAGAGTCCGTACCGCCAGTCCTTAGATTTGAGCTTGATTGTAAATGGAGCTTCAACCACGGCGTCGTCGCCTGCAATGCCCGAATCCTGCATAATTCGACATACTTGCAGTCGTGATAGTAAGTGTCTTGGTCACGTGGGCGTTCAGGCCGAACTGCATCAGGTCGTCAATGTCTATAGGCTGAGTTGGCGCGGGTTGCGTGGACGCATTGTTCGTTGTGTTTGCGATTATGGTTCTGTTCGGGATCTGGGGCCTATACAGCATTGGGCGCATGTACATGTTCGTATCTGTGTGGCTGTCTCTCAGGGTGTCAATCTTACTGAACATCTGCATGAGTCTTGATCTTCAGTTAGACGATACGTGGCTAGAGAGTTCGCCAACGATGTGTGTATGCGTTTGCAGTTTGTATTCCGATTATTTGTGTGTGCGCGTGTCTCACTTGGAGGCGTGGCGCAGGATCATGTCACACTTCGTTGGTCGTCCAGGCACAGATACGCAATATGCCATCGTTCTGTCTGCAGACGGCCACCCTGGCCACACCCAACGATGCTACAGTGTCGTCGACGTTCCGCGCGTGAGCAGTTTACGTATACATGCGGCACGAATGTATCACAAGCGGTTGCGGTGTGGAATTGCGGGCTCGCCAGCGCAACGGCTCCGTTTGAAGTGCTTGGAGCACAGTTCTTGTCTAGCGCCACCAGTTCCTCTCTCATTTCCGTTTCCTGTCCTTCGTTCCCCGATCGTGTTACATTCTCTCCGTTCCATCTACAAGTTGGCTAATGAGCTTTGTTCTGCCAATGCTCCACGCTTCCAGTCCACAGCGGCTGGTCAATTCGAAATGCTCTCGGCTGGTTGTTGGATGGGAATGGGGGGGAGGGGAGGGGGGTGCACCGAGCGAGGTGTGCCATGTGTTGACCCAGGTTTCCCCTGCGCAGGGGCACGTCGCGGCCCAATCCCAAGACTCAAACAGCCCAAGGCGCAACCGGTAACATGCAATACGTCCAAGAGTCTGCACCAACGGTTGAGAAGCAGTGCAAGGAACCAGGCCAGGATTTCAACCCAATTGTTTGACATAAGTATTGTTAGTAGTTCTTGGTTGCCAGCAGTGTTTCTGAATACGTATCCCGAAATGTTGCAGGCGTGTGCGCGTCACTTCCGAAGTTTTGCAGTCCATATTTTAGAATGCCACACATGAGCCCAACCGCTGGGATCGACCAAGCTGATGTCCTCACGGGCATTGGGATCGGAGCGTTCACAGCAGAGATTTTGACGGGCACAGCAGGTTTGATCTATATCTACCCCGCCGAAACAGCACGCTGTGGCTCCAGTGGGGGCTCCACCGAAGGCCACAGTGGCAGGGATTTCCATGCGTCTCCCTCAACCGATACAGCACGTTGTGGTGGCCACCAAAAGAGCTCCTTCGAAGGCCCCAGTGACAGGGTTCACGTGCGGGCCCCTGGGAGCACGCACCCAGTTCGTGGCTCATAGGGAGCTCCATCGAAGGCCCCAGTGGCAGAGTCTACATGCGTCCCACGCCACCAAGTGAAGCGCGTCGTGGCCCCAAAGTGGGGCTCCAGCGAAGGCCCAGGCGGCAGGGTCTACCTGCGCTTCCCCCACCCAGTACAGCGTTCCAGGGCCCCATATGGGGGCTTCTCCGAAGGTCCCAGTGTCAGGGTTGACATGCGTGCCCCCCGTTCAGGAAAGCGTTTCGCTGCCGAATGGCCCTGGTGGCAGGGTTTACATGCGTCCCCCTCCACCCAGTACGGCACTCCCTAGCCCCACAGGGAGCTCCACCGAAGTCCCCAAGTAGCAGGGTTTGCAGGCGTGTTCCCCACCAAGTACAGCGCTTCGTGGCCCCATAGGGAGCCCCACCGAAGGCTCCGGTGTCAGAGCCAGCGTGCTACGCTTCGTGGTCCCATGGTTAGCCCCACCGAAGGCCCCAGTGGCTGCGGCCGCATGCTCCCCGCCTTCACTTTTGGTACCCCTCACGCGCCTTGCGGCCTCGTCTTGGAGCCTCACCGACCGCCTTCGTGGCAGCGCCTGCAGGCGCCCCCCCTGCACCATTTAGGCGCGGCCCTCACATCTTTCGTGCCTCCACGGGGCGCTCCATCGGAGGCTCCCAGTGGCGGCGCCCGCATGCCGCCGCCCACTCCACGCGCCTCGTGGCCCCACGGGGGGAGCTCCACCGAGGGCGGTGCCCGCAGCGAGGGACTCGCAGTTGCACGTGCCCCTCGTCGCCGCCCGTCGTTTGGCGGCTATGCTGTCGCCGTCGCTGCCCCCTCGCCGCCTCGTCGCCGCCCGTCGTCTGGGCCCGGGGGTCGGTCTGGCGGCCATGCTGTCGCCGTCGTTGCCAGGTCGCTGCCTCGCCGCCGCCCGTCGTCTGGGCCTGGGGGTCGGGTTGGCAGCTATGTTGTCGCCGACGCCGCTCCGTCGCCACCCCGTCGCCGCCACATATTGCACCACATGTATTGCACAACATGTATTTCATCACATTGGTAGCACCACATTGACTGCACCACCATGACTGCATACCTTAGATTTCACAACATACCTAGATTGTGCAACATAGTTTGCATACCCTCGATTGCACAACCTATATTCGGCAGCATCGATTGCGCAGCCCATCCATTGCATCACATAAGTTGCACCACATAGGTTGCACCATGTTTGTTGCGTACCTTATTCAGCACACTACATCTATTGTCCAACAGTGATCGCACCACAGATATTGTATTATGTCGTAGTGGCCTCCGGCCAGTGCCGCCGATCCGGGACGCTCCGGATGATGATGATGATGATGATGATGATGATGATGATGATGATGATGATGATGATGATGATGATGATGCTGATGCTGATGCTGATGCTGATGCTGATGCTGATGCTGATGCTGATGCTGATGCTGATGAGGATGAGGCTGATGAGGATGAGGATGAGGATGATGATGAGGATGAGAATTAGGATGAAGATGAGGATGAGGATGAGGATGAGGATGACGATGATGACGATGATGATGATGATGATGATGATGATGATGATGATGATGATGATGATGATGATGATGATGATGATGATGATGATGATCATGATGATGATGATGATGGTCATGTCACGATGGTGATGGTGATGGTGATGGAGATGGTGATGATCCTGGCCCCCCCTCCCCACCTCCCACCCTCTCTCCTGTCCACTTCCTCCCCTCTCTCCTGTCCCCCACCCTCTCTCCTTTCCCTCCCCCCCCCTGTCTCTCCTGTTCCCCCCCCACCCCCCCCTCTCTCCTGTCCACCCCCCCCCTCTCCCCCACTCCTCTCTCCTGTCCCCCCCCTTCCCCCCTCTCTCCTGGCCCCCCCCCCTTCTCTCCTGTCCCCCCCCCTCTCCTTTCCCCCTCCCCCCCCTCTCCTGTCCCCTCCCCCTCTCTACAATTACTCAATATGAATACTACTCTTCTTCTTCCCCTGATGACGTGCTGGGAGTGTTCGCCCCCCCCCCGCGTCCTGTTTTTTTATACAGGATTCCCGGGAGTTGGGTTTTCGCGTGCATTTTGTTTCAAAATGCTGCTCTCGCTGCAGCGTGGGTCTCATTTTCGGATCGGTGTTTTGCCTCCGTCGTTCAGGATGGCGTTCTCGCCCCAGCGCGGGCCTCTTTCTCGCGCGCCCATCCGCCCGCGACCACCGCACCGCGCCCCGCCCCGCCCACCGCCACTTCCACCCACCAACGCACGCACGCACGCACGCACGCGCACCGCCACCACCACCCCACTACCCCACCCACCACCACCACGCTACACCGTGGCACACCACATCACACGCGCGCGCACACAGACACACACGCACGCACACACACAGACACACACACACACACACACATACACACGCACACACACACACGCACACACACACCACCACCACCACCGCCACTACCACCACCACCGCCATCACGCACGCACGCACCTGGCCCACCACCAAACCACCAAGACGCCACACCACGTCACACCACAACACACGCGCACACACGCACACACACAAAACACACACACACAAAACACACACACACACCAACACACACACCAACACACACACACCAACACACACACCAACACACACACCAACACACACACCAACACACACACCAACACACACACCAACACACACACACCCAACACACAACACCACACACACACACCAACACACACACCACCACACACACACACACACAACACACACCAACACACACACCAACACACACACACCAACACACACCCAACACACACACACCAACACAACACACCACACAAAACCAACACACACACACCAACACACGACACCACAAGCCCCACACACAACACCCAGCACCCACACACCCACACCCACACCCACCCCCACTACCCACACCCACACCCACACCCACAAACCCACAACCCACGACCCACACCCACACCCACCACCCACACCCCCACACCCACACCCACACCCACACCCACACTCATACACACAACGCGCACGCGCACACACAACACACACACTAAACACAACACACATGACACCACACACACACGCATACACACACGCGCGCACACGCACGACACACACACACGCACGCACGCACGCGCACACACACACACACACGCGCAAACACACGCACACGCACACAAACACACACCCACACACGCTCACACACACGCACACACACGCACACACATACACGCAC